CGCAAGCAAACGGCTGCGTCTCCGTACAACAGATTCTGTTCAACCACCACAGGCCCCCCGTCCACCAAAGAATGTGTTGCTCTGAGACTAGCCTCTCTCTTTATTTTTGTATACCCAACAGGCTTCCGGAAGCTCCCGGAAGCATGCCGAGGCAAACGGCTGCGTCTCCGGACAACAGATTCTGTTCAACCACCACAGGCCCCCTGTCCACCAAAGATTGTGTTGCTCTGAGGGAGACTAGCCTCATACGGAAGCAGCGCCCAAAGTAAGTCGACCTATCAGTGCTTCTCTCCGTAACAGACGACAAAGGTGCGGCGGTGAACTTCTTACCACAGTCACAGCTTCTGAGCCGGACACAGTCGGGTGAGCGGGGACAAGTAGCAGAGCCCATTGAAAAATCAAACACATGCGTTGACCTCGACATTGGGGAATGCAGTGACAACTGTACGACCAGAGAATGTGAAACTGCCGTTACCTCGGAGGCAGCAGGGACAGTGTTGAAATGCTTGTCCACAAACCGCCCCGGCCTTTTCAGCAAGCTTTGCGATATTAAAAAGTAAGCTTGCCTCGAACAACCGTGTACTTTCTTTCCCCCGGTCAAACTCTTCCCTTATCCGCTGCTGTTTACTACGTCTATCTCATGGACTCAATATAGATTTTTAACCCCTCATGGACTTTAACCCTCGGTTTGTCGAACCAGTTGGTCGGTCCATTCTTTACGCGCGCTTTTTGACCATTTTGCGTCACCACGTGTTGTACCCAGGTGTGCTTCGCAAACTAAGACCGATTTGCCATCTTCTCCGGGCTTTCTTTGGACTTGCACTACTTCGTGCAACAGTTTTATGCATGTAGTACCGCATCTTTTGATAACTCTCAAGAATCCACAATTTCTGGCTCGTGATGTTGCGCGTCACGCAAGTGGGCTCTCCTGAACACGTCGAAGTATTCTACAAACCGTCCATAATCGCACCCACGGAGAACATATGTCCCTGACGCGGTGACCTCAATAGACGGTCGCCCTGTTTTACGGGCTGGCTTGAAATGAAGGAGAGCTGGTGGGGTTGCTCCATAATTACATGCGGCCCTACCCATCCCGACTGTCCTCCGTGAAGCCACTCCTGCACCATTTTGAGGTGCACTGGGGATCCAAATCCTGCTGCGCCGGTTCGATTCTCTCCTTCTTGGTGTGGTCTGCCGTAATCTCTCGAGTCCCCCTGAAAATAACCGATCCCTCACACGAGCCCTTGGGCAACTTTACTCCAGTCACCACTTTACTCATCTCCCGCTGTTAGGTGACTTCAACGCTCCAAAGGCCTCCTGGATGGAGCGCAGCGCGTTGGGTCAAGCGGGCATTTTTGCAGCGGCGCTGATTAAAATCGTTCAACAGAGACCTTGGACTCAATGTGTCGCTACACCCACCAGATACCGCGCAGGCGAACTACCACCCCTCCTGGACCTGGTCATCACTAACGAAAGACACTTCGTTGATCAGGTAACAATTAACGCTCCACTAGGACACAGTGATCATTGGGTGCTGACCTTTGATTTCATCTGATGTTGGGCCGGACATCCTGATCCTCAATCGTGGATTCGAGATATCTGCCAAGCAGACTTCCTAGGGTATTTTCTTGAACAAGCTAAAGTGAATCTAGATTCAGTGGAAGTCTTATATGAGACCATTACCCAGAAACTCCACGAAGCTGACGGGACTTTCGTCCCAAAAAACCAACCCGCAGTCGGATGACCCTCGGGATACCCAAAAGGATTCGGCTTCTTCTGGAAAGGACGTCTTAACTTTTTCCAAAAGTTGATTACAAAAGAGACAGAAGATGAGCTGGCATTTCATAAAATGCGGAACCGCTGTAAATCAGAAATCCGCCAATGGAACATACGAAAACAAGCCACCATCCTGGACCTCGCTCGAAAAAATGTGCTGTTCAAATACGAGACATCGTCGCAGAAACAAGCCATTAGCGTTCTCCTTGAGGAACAGAAACAGAGAATCGAATCATCCAGATATTCCTGCAAGTCCATGTCTACTTTTTGCGGACGACTTGGAATCCTGGAATTCCAATGCCAGTGCCTCCTTAATGGATGTAGACACTGCAAAGCGGTGGTCGTTGGACTGGCACCTTCCTCTGAGTGACGGAAAGTGCGTCCATATGTCGTTCGAATGAAACTCAGCGAAGGCTTCCGTCACGCATGGTGAGAAAGGACCAGAAGGCATCATGAGGATATACACCAAAAAGGTTCGGGTATCCGGCTCTCTTCAAACATGTCTTCCTCGCTGCACCATTTGAAATCAGCCCAAAAAGCATTCGCTGTTCTACTTTCGGTGCGCCTTGCATATTACCTGTATGGACCTAATCCTTACTTATACCCTGAACAAGGCCTGGCCAACGGGTTTTTCACCTTGACCCAGCAGACACAAGGCAGGTACATGGTAAGATTTTTAGGCTCAGAGCTCACACACTCGTCATGCGAAATTTGTTCTCATTTCGGGTAGTAGCCACTTGGAATCACCTTCATTCGGCGGTTGTCAACGTCCCTCTAGAACTCAGTTCAAAGCACTATTAGACGCTTATTTATGCAAATCCTCGTGCTGGCAAGCATGGTGTCCAGCGCAGAGAAATTATAGAGCAGTGCTACACTATTTTTCACTTGCCTCTTTCGGGTAAACGACAGCCGCTCAACGACAGGAACAAAACCGAAAGAGAAACTTGGGAACAAGCCTCAATCATGTGTACCGATCCATGAAAAAAACTGATGAAATCTTGTTAAGGTTTTGTCACTTTGGGAAGTGATGATGTGTCGTACGGTGAGATTTAGTGGTCTGTAAGGTGGGTTTTCCGTCACAACAACCTGACCCTATTGTTGTGTGGCAGTTTGTGTGCCCACGCCATTCTGGGGTCGTCATTGTTTGGAGGTCTAACCAAAACAGTCTCCTGGTTCTTCAAGGAGTTCTCTTCGATAAGGACGGCGCCATCAAACGGGTCGCCGTAGTTGCTGCATACAGCGTAGCGGGTGGGCGAAAACAGATTATTGCTGAAGCTCCCCCTCTTTCTCCTTCACCCACATTTTTCATTTACTCCGAACCCAATAATAATTTTCACCTAAGCGCGTGATTTGGGGCTGATGAGTCCATTCGTCCCGCGTCGGTTTTGCACACAAGATCTACGAGTCATTCTGTGCCGACATCCCCATCTGTCGTGGTTGCTTACACCACAAACAACTCTAGTTCTAACATCATCACATGTGACTTCATGCTGCAATTAGATCACCACCCCGTTGCACACTGATGGAACCCTCGCCCACGTCACGGCGCTACCAGGCCTGCTGAAACAGTATTTATCAGTCTGGACAGTGCCTTTGCTTGAGTCACAAAAAAATGGCCCGTCGAAAATCATTTGATCCGGCGACTTATCAGACGTCAAGTGAAAGTGTGCGTGCACACTGGCCGTGAAGCCAGGTGGGCTCGGAGACTTAACGAATTGGAAGAGGCTTAGAAAGCCGGAAATACCCGATGGCTATTTCAGTTGACCCGTGCGACTGGCTCCCGGAAACTACTTTTGAGTGAAACCATCAATGATCGGAATGGAGCTTCGATTTTGAATTAAGAAGAACGCTTTGACCGTTGAACCAGATACGTCGAATAACAATTGTTGTGGCCATCTGCTCCACTCCTCTGGAGACCACAACGGACGCAGAACCCTGAACGGTCAACATGGAACCCTCAGGTGTTTATAACTGCATAATTCTTATGCAGCGCCACCTAGCTTCTTCCTCGGGTGACTTCTCACCTGCATTATTCAAATATTTGGGTGAAGTCCTCAGGCAGGGACTATCGGATCATTTTCCTGCATTCGGGAGACAGATACCGTTCCAGATAATTAAAGAGAGTCGGTACTCAGGTGTGTCCACTCTCTCCAATCTTATTCAGTCTCATGCTTGACGAGATACTGAAACGAGCACTGAAAAGTTTTCAGAACTCTGGAGTTCAAATAGCGGATGACGAGAACCTTGTCGATTTGGAGTATGCAGACGACATCGTTCTTGCTTTCGAAAAAGAGAAGATAGCGCAGGCATGATCAAAGTTATCTCATCGTTTATTGTGTGCTCTGGACCCGTGGTTTATGAAGTTTTGCTGGTAGACATGGAGCCGCTCAATACTTCACGTACAATCCAGGGTGAGACACTCAAATTTGTGGAGCGTTATATATATATATATAATACACATATTTCAAGTGGACGAATCTTCAAGACTCGGGTCGCGTTTCATAATTTGATAGTGTCAATGCGGTATATCCCTAAATCTCAAAAAACGTGTTTATCAAGCCATAGTAATGGCTGCTTTTTTTGTGCAACCGTGAGACTCGACCCGTTCGAGCAGCGGAACTGAGAAGTCTTCAAACTTTCGGCAACCATATTATCAGGTCATAGCTTGTGTGTCCTGATGTCACGGAGCGATTTTTCGGTTGCATGACAGGAAATTCCATTGAAGAATGTGCTCGGCACCAGAGGCTCTGGTGGTCAGGCCATGTACTGCGTATGTCGAACCATCGTTTGCAGAAGAGAGCGCTGGATTCGGTGTCAAATTCAGTGAAGAAGAAGATAGGTGGTCACACTTCGACCACCCACTTTTAAGTAGAATGAAAATAGTCTGTGTGCTTCCGCTGCAACTCGCCTTCGAGAATGGGGTTCGCGGAAACACTGCAAGATGTGGCCTCTGTAAGATCCGGACGGTTATGGATCTCACAGGACGACTGCAACTATTGGATTATACGCAGTTCGCAGCCAGTAGTCAATAGGAGCAGACGGACGTGGGGCAGCAGATAATATATTGAGGACTGACAGGAACTGGTTCTACAGACAAACGGATTAGTAAGCATTATGAATTAAGCAAACGTACAATCAACAACGATGCAATCAGCAGGAGTGGGAAGTAGTCACTGACGCGGCACGGATTTCTATAGGGGCAACAGCAAGTAAGTACCAAACGATGTACAAACATACATATAGGGGCAGACTGACAGAAAGAATTGGCCGTAACGGCGCAGGTGTCAGTACGTTCGGGATGTGAGGGACTGTTTTTCGGTCGGCGTCGACGCAACCGCTCGTGTTCCGTGATGGGTCGGATTGCGCGGATTCGCTCGTTTAAAACAACGCTCAGCAAGGAATATCTGGCAGGCGCAATACATGGGTAACACAAGATAATCAGCCGCTCTGGGCGTCAGGTCGGTGTGGTTGGTAGTGCGTTAGCCCTCTGACCGGTGGATCCAGGTTCGATACCCGGTCGGCCCGCTTTTCCGTCGGAGTGCGCACTCGAAAATAGGTGCAGTCGAGGTGAACTTGCAGGGGATGACAGGCGGGCAACAAAATATTGACATCACTTACTGAGGGATAAGCAGACCTTAAGTAGAAACAAAACGGGGGGAAGACGAGCAGCAAGAAAACGAAACGGTGTCATAATAAACAGGTGTAAGTCATGTTACTCATGAGTAGTCAGAAAACAAGGAGAGTTACCCTTGTTCACCGTTGATTCACTTTCCATCCAGGTTGCCTCAATGAGTGTTTTTTGGTGTAGGTACCTCAATACAATTGTGATAGGAGCACTAAGTCCCTTCCCCGTTTACTTTCGCCGTTTTCTTCACGATAAGGCTTCCAAATAAACCATGGTTGTACGGCGGCAAACAATCAGCTTTGAACACATGTTATGCTCTTGACGCTAATGATGGCAACGATGATGTCAATGAGGTTCTTTAATCAATTCCATGAAAACAAACGTGACTGTCAGCCAAATGATAGCACGTTTCAGCAGCCTGATTCCGAAATTTGCGTCAGCATATGTGACGACGGGTGATAAAAATGGTTTAAAGTAGCCATAAACGGTCCCAAATGAAACCCGCTTTAATATGTTGCAGTTTTGAACAGAACGGCTTTGGCCGGACGTATTCAGTCAACTCTCTTGAATGAGCCACATTTTGTCGTTTCAGTGGGCCAAGCGTTTCCGATGTACAACTTTCAATGCACTAATATTTTTGCGGA